GAAGCTGAACGTATATCCCTTCAGTGAAGCCCTACAAGGCTTTGCTATCTTCACTACTCTCTAGGTGCAATTGTACAGTCCTGTGCAGCCAAGACTGGATCTCTGACCTGTAGCCTTCCTGTTAACTAAGAATTAGCCTGGAAGGTCCAACTGTGCTCAGTCCCTGTAAGCCTCTTTCCTCCAGGAATCTGTTTCTAGTAAAAAAAATAAAAATAATGTTAAGGCCCCGACTGTGCAATCTTTTAGCATATATATAACTTTACTCACATGAGTAGTTCCACTGACGTCAGAGGGGCTACCCAATGTAGTTTAAATAAAAGACATACATAGATGTTTGCTGGAACTAAAATGGCATTTTCAATAACGATTTCTCTAAGTTTCAAAACAAAACTGTTTCACTGTTAGCAACAAGGAGTTACACTTAGTTTTTTTAAATTGGAAACATTTTCATATTCATGAAGGCCAAAATTTTCAAAAATAGGAGCCTCAAATTACGATAGGTTTTAGCTTTTCTAGACATATTTAAACACCCAAGCAAGGGAATTTTTAAAGCAATTAGAAGTCTTGTGAGCACAAGTTCCAGCTCCTAAAACAAGAGTATACCTTGACTGGACCATTTCTTCTACTTTGATTTCCTGTTAGAAAGTGGTATTGGGTATAGAGTATAGGCTACGTGCTCATCCGTTTAGTGTTTAAGATTGTGTCATTCTTATGGAAAGGATGTCAGTAAGCCATGTTTCACTAAGAAAAGTATTTAAGATGTGAAGCTTCTTAAAGAGCTAAAAATCTCTATAACATCTGAAATTCTACTGAGAAGACACTAAAAACAGGTACAAAATGTTAGTGACTAGAAAATGAAAATAACACAGAAATGGAAATAAAATAAAGAACAAGCAAACAAAAGTCAAGATCTAAATTTAAAAACCGAACTAGAAAAAAAATAATTTTTTAAATAAGTCTTTGTATCTGCCTTCATTAAGGAAGCATGTCTGCTCTGGCTTTCATGAAAAGTCCAATGTTCATAGCAATACAAAGACTTAGTGAAGAATTATAAGATAAATTTTCACTCCATTTTGACTAAAAAGTAACAGGTTGCTCTCTAAGCATCACTAAATTCAATATGCTATGTACAGTGGCAGAGATGTAGCAGGGCAGATCTGCATCCTAGGCAGCTGCCAATGCATGAGGTAGCACCAGGTTCCTATGATGCCAATTGCAGCAATACAGTCGGCTGCTGATGCGGCAGCAGCTGTGTCTGCACCTCCCACAAATATGTTCCCTCAGTCACACTACTACAGTAGCTCCTTAGAACAGTAACATTCAGAACAAGGCAAACTTTGTTGAAGTCTTTACTCTGCTTCTTATCACATGACCAGGACTTTAAATCATAAAATGGAGGAAGTGCTTTAACTTTGAAATATGGAGAATTTTCTCTTTACTGCATTTTGAAGCACCAAGCTCTTACCTAACTTTGTCACAAACTTTGTTTACAAGGAATCAATAGATTTAATTAACAATGAAATGCTCCTCTGAATTATTTGCAATGCAAACACTGCAACTATGTTCTGACTGTAGAGATCCAGAATATGAAATTCATTACAAGTGAAAATGATCTGTCCCTAAGGCTTTAAATAAAGTATTTATCTAATTTTGCCATGAACTTTAAGGTACATCTGTCCTGCAAGCATAACTGTGATAGGAGCATGTTGAAACATACATGAGCTAGACATAATCCAATTTACTTTGGTACTGGCAGCACTGATGCTGAGTAATTTTGGCTTCAGCTGCCAAGTATCTACCCAGGATCCCTAACAAGCTTGCTGCACAACTCTGTGCTAATGTGCGTGCTGTCTTAGCTATTGGTACTTGAGCTAATTAGATTAAAGTTAGCTTGGTTTTATGTATGTGTGTAGCAATCAAACCTTCTCATGGCAGTGTAGACATATCCTTCAGTACAAAATTTTTAAAAAAGCAGTTAATTAACAAATATTTCCACATTCCTTTAAAATGTTCGTAACACTGAAGCTTTGGACTAAGTCAGGAAGTCTAGAAAAACGCAAGTGAAAATGATTGGTGTAGGACATTTTTCAAGCCAAGGAAAACAGAAACATAAACAAGTGGCAAAGAATAAATTTAAAAGTTGAACTGCTATTTTTAACAACCTGCAAGATTACTACTAAAATAATGTAATTTTAAAATTAAATTTGCCTTAAAGTCTCACCATCGGATTAAACACACTTATTATAACATATTCTGTATAAATATGAAGACTCTTATACAGCTCTGCACAGGTACAGGGAATTAATTTTTTTACTAAAGGCACACACACTACTGAATATATTTGAATACAGTTTTACTTTTGTTTTTTAAAGAAACATTTGTGAAAGGAACCGTTGTTAATCTAGTCAGTGTTAAGTGTTCCAGTTTAAGAAGAGCTACATGAAAATAAGCATGAAGTAACATAAGAAATATTTGTTTCATTTGGATACAGTTCTAGTCATGCTGTTCCTTATTGAAATTACAACAGCTTTTGGCACGTGGACCATGATGGCGATTTACCTTTAAGTATATAGCTGTTATTGTTCCATTTTGTCATTGCAACATCCTAAATAAGCTTTTTTGAACATGTATGCAAGCATGCATGCATGCTTGCATGCATTGCATGTATGCGTGCACGCGCACACACACACACACACACACTGAACATTCCATAACCGGAACCATCTTGTTACAATCTGCTTTGGTAGAAATTAATATATTGGTTCAATGTATTGGACATTAACTTAAAAAAAACTAAATAAACTAATTGTTAAATACATTTTAAAAATACCCGCACGCCTGTATCTACTGGAAAGCCTGGTTTAATTCCAAAAGCTGACATTTACTTTGGAAGTTTAGAATAAAAAGAGTTTTTCATTTACTCTATTGGACAAGGGAGTTTCTTTTACAGGAATCTGTGGGAGAATGAGCATTTTCAGTGTTAAGTAAAAACAGGCAGTTTCCACAGAATTCAACAAGTTGGTGGTACAGTAAAAAGCTCTGTTTTCTGGCATCCACAGGGTAAGGGGATTGTCAGTTACTGTAAAAATTCCAGTTATCTGAAATAACCCGGCAGGGGTTTTCA